TCCTGGGAACAAAATGCTTTGTCGGCCATGATTGAAGCATCTGATTGGAGCAGCAGGTCGTGAAATTAAGAAATCTCTCCATCAATACTTTTAGCTATTTAAGCTGTACTTCAGTTCACACTCTGGAGTTTAGGCAGTAAAATGTCTCCATATCAGCGTGATGAGACGTTCCCACTGACGTCTCCATGCCAGTAGAAACCTCCAGGTCAAGTTTCTACTGAAGAAGCTGTAGATCATAATCTGTCTGCTGGTCATCCAGGGGTCACCCAGAGGTCATCCAGGGGTCACCGGTTGAGGACCATGTCCTCTCTGCAGACGTGTCTCTGCATGTGCAGCTTTAGAAAGAATCAAATTGTAAATCTGTTGACGGGACCCTGCGCTCCGCGCCGCTCTGATATTTTCATGCTTCGTTAATCTGCCGTTAATCTGCGGCGTAAAGGTCGCAGGAGAGCCGAGTGAAGATGGAGACTTCATACTAATGACCAACGAGGCGATGCAGAGGAGGAACTGAGGCAAGGTCCTGCTGGAAGCAGATCAGTGAGCAGAAAACCTGCAGAAAACGTTCAAAAATGTGACAGAAAAACAAAGTTCAGCTTCAGTGATTTGAGGACAAAAACTTAAAGTTATGAAAACTTTAAGTTTTCATAATTTTCATAACGAGAACGAGGAGCTGAGGAAATGATCTGGTGTTACCGTGACTTTAAGAGCTGGAGCAGAACGGTTGATGATGATGATGAAGAAAACAAAACATTCATCTGAGGCAGAGGGGGTCAGCACCCAGGAGACACTGGGAGAAACTCAGGAACGGTTTAATAGTTTATGAGCCTCCTGATGAAACAGAACCAAGCAGCACCAGCAAAATCTCTACGGAGCTAAATCAGGGCCATAAAATTTGACAAAAACATTTAAACTGAAAAATGATTTTTCACCAAAAAGCTTTAAGCTGAACAGCAGTTTTGCATTTTGAAATAATTATTATTTGAAACTGAACATTTGAAATTTTCTGTTTCTTTTTTTTTTTTTTGGTTTTAAAACTTTTTCAGCTTCACATCTTTATGGCCCGATTGGAGCTCCGTAGAACTGAACTACGGAGCTGAAGTTCTGTCTTAGACCTTGCTTGGACCTGGTTCTGTCCTGGACCCGGTTCCCTGATCCTCTCTGGTAGCTTAGCAACAGTGCTAATGGCGCCGGCAGCCCATAAACACGGAGCTGCCATCGATCTGTCCTTCGGTTATGGAAACCTGGCAGGATTTATGGCGATGCTAAAAGCTGAACAGGAAGTGGCGAACAGGAAGTGGTGAAGAGGAAGTGGTGAACAGGAAGTGGCGAACAGGAAGTGGTGAACAGGAAGTGGTGAACAGGAAGTGGTGAACAGGAAGTGGTGAGGTCGGATCCAGGGTTTGAAAAAGATTTAGCAAGCAAGCTTGCTAAATCTTACTTGGGAAAAAATGTGATTAGTTGCGTAAAATAGTAACATTAAAATTGATGTAATTAATTAGTCAAAATGAACACACTAAAGTCCCAGTCCTAATTGATACTTAGCAAGCTTGCTTGCTAAGTTTTTTTTTTTTTTAGCAACTAGCCCTTAGCTTCGGCTTCTAAACAAGCTAAGGGCTAAATGTTTAGTTTGAAAAAAAAAAGCTGAATATTGAGCTGTAGCTAAAAAACTAATGAATGCTGAAAGTATTTATTGATTTGGCCATAAATGATCAGTTGATCAAGCATCTCATCCTTGATGTTGGTTTTTTGCAGACGTCCTCCAGCAGCCGATGGTTTGAGCTGCTGGTTGTTTCCGACCGCAGATCCAATCCGGATCAGCAGGAATCAGCTCAGCCAGGTGGTTCTGTAGGATCCGGGAAGCTTTCATGTCCTCGTTTCTCCTTCTCTGTCAGAAACAGACGGAGGATGTCTCTCTCTGTTCCTGATTCAGTTCTTCAGCCTGTGTTTCCTCTCTGAATCGTTGTCTCTGTTCCAGGCCTTAAAACTCTTCCTGTCTTATCTCCAGGAGGTTCACAGGATGAAGCTCTGTGTGTTTTAGTTTGGATCTTCTGCAGCGGTTGGAGCAAAGTGTCGTCTGAGGAGGAAGATTCATCTAAGCTTAAACTGACACCAAACAAGTTTTACATCTTCAAGGTTCGTTTGAGGAAAAGCGGATTTAGATTGCAGGAATGTGTGAAACGTTTTTCTGTCTCTTCTGTTTTACCTTCTGTCGTTTTCCTCTCCCGCCTCTGTTATCGCCTCGCTGTGTTTCATGTCTGGCTTCGTGGTGCTTGTCTTCTTTTCCTGCAGCACATTTCTGTTTCTGTTGGGTTTTACTGAAGGTTTCTCCTCGTTTTTAGCATTTTAACTGGATCCAGTCCAAACCAGTTTAAATCCGTTTTTATTCTGTGTCCCAAACTGTGTCCCAGTTTCAACCATCTGCTTCTTTATTATCCTATACATATGCTACATGGTTAGCATTGAGATGCTATTTCAGGCTAGCATAAGTCCACTGATTGGAAAAACACAACAATAGTTGTTTCCAATCGGATGGATTAGAAGCAGAAATGAACCCAGTGGGACGAAGCTGCATCGTCCATCGCTGCTGAGAGGACGTCGCTGTCCGTCAGATTTATGGCCGTACAAACACAAACACAAAGGTTCCAGTCGAGGGAAAAATGTGATTAGTTGAGTAAAATAGTAACATTAAAATTGATGTAATTAATTAGTCAAAATGGACGCACTAAAATCCCAGTCCTAATTAATTTATAATTATTTGAAGTGATTGTCTTCTCCAGTTCTTCTGGAAATTGATCCTAATCGTCTCCAATTCCTCTGGATCAACAGTTTTTGTTCTTCTTCTGATACTTTCTCATTAATGCGAGTATTTATGACAAACAAACCATTATCAGAGTACATAAACATCAAACATGTGCATGAACTACTAAAATGCATCATGGATATTGTTTAGTGTGTAAAATGTAGAGTTCAGACAGATGCCGTCTGTTTCTGTGCAGAGTCTGTAAAAGCCTGAGGAAAAATCTTTCTGCTGCACATCAGTCTTCTCTTCATCCAGTCAATCAGCTGGAGTCGGATCAGAGATGTGGGTCAGACGAAAAGAGGACATTAGCTCAGAGAATCAGGTTAACCCACATCTCTGCTTCTTCTTCATCTGATATTAAAATGGCCTCAGGTGGAGGGGAAGTAAGTGATTATATCAGAAAGGTTTTCTGGTACCTGGCATATGAGCGTCTTCTCTGGAACGAATGTCTGCCTCGTCTTGCCTTTTTGTAGAAAGTAACAGAAAAGATTCCTCTAACCAGAGAAAATCCAACCGTCCATAAATCCTCTGCTCACGGCGCTTCTAGGTGTTGACGATCTGTTCTGGTGGGTCGGGTCTCTGCGATTCGCAGGTGAAATGGTTCTGCTGATTTCATCAGGTCATGACCTTCAGCTGTCATTGGAGCGGTTCGCAGCCGGGATGAGGACCGGTTCTTCCAAACCCAACACCATGGTCTCCGGATCAGCAGCTTGTTCCCAACAGTCAGGAACAAACTTCCAGAAAGCTAGAAAACTGCTGAAACACTGAGTTCCTTTAAAACAAGGCTAAAATCCCATCTGTTAGATTCATAATCACTGCAACACTGACTGCTGCGTTTGACATCCATCAGTCTGGAAGTGTTTCCTGGACCATCTCCAAGGTTCTGGACTCCTCAGAACCTTCCCAGGAAATTACTTCTGGAGGGATTAGTGTCCTTTTTATTTCCATGATTATCCCAGAAGGGGAAGTGTTGCTTTGGTGTTTCCAACCAGTTGAGAACCAGCTGATGTGACAGCGGTGGAGCGCCGTGGGCGTCGCCTCCAGCAGGGTTCGCTGGATCAGCCGCAGGTGGAAGAGCCGCTGCGCCGCTAGTCTCTGTGCGTGACCTGGTCAGTGTGATGGAGCAGGATGAAGAGGCGTCCCTCCTCTTCCTCCCCTTGCTGTAATTGGACCATTGATTGGTGCTGTCTGGACACGGAGTGACGGGATCAACTGTCTGCAAGCAGCTGGAGACGAAATGAACCGACAGAAAGGAGACTGAACTGTACCTTTAGAATAAAAACCTGTTGAATTTCATCATTTCCACCAAATTCCTGCTTCCTGAATGTAAACAGGAACCGTTCTGCTGATTTTTAAGGAGAGTATCTGAATTTCAAACGCGGCGTCCATCTGGCAGCAGCTGGATCTTCAGCTGATACTGAAGCCAGACAGACCCGACAGAACTGAGTCCAAATCAAGTCCAGATGAATTAACATGTTTCCTGCCAGCAGGAGACATCAAAGCTGAGGCAAACAGAGCTGCTTGGTGTTTACCTGAGAGGCACGAATCAGAAAGTGAAGAGTCTGATGCTTCATTCGCTGCATCCTGAAGTCAGGAGTTGACCTTCCTGCTTCTCCGATGCCATCAGACAGACGTACAGAGACTGGCCCAGTCAGTGAGGATGCATCGCTCGTCCATCAGTCCAAACCAAACCATCAGTCAGACACTCGGTGAAGGTCCAACAGATCTGTGGGATCCAATAGATCCACCATGGCTCCTCAGGTGGACCTAATAACATCATCATCATACGCTCAAACGTCCTAGGACTGGAAAAACTAACGCCTCCGGCTTTCAAAGTCTCTGCTGTTGGTGTACAACCAAAAGTCCCAAATAAAATAAATTGTCATTTTTTTTTTTAAATGTTTGATATTCTATAAAAAAATATGCAAAAGTTGAACCTTCCACAAATAATGTGAAGTTACTGAACATTGTACTGATTTAGCCTAAGTATAAATATAAGACATGCAGGTTTTAGGCTGGAATCTTGAGTAATTTAGATTTATTAATATCAGGTCCATTTATTTTTATTATCTGCATTTTAATGTTTTCTTGATTTGGTTTAATATGTGAAAAAGTAATTAAGTTTGTGTTAGTTTAGCGCCATTACCTGGAGGATCCACTAGGGGCACTCGCGGGTTCTTTTCCTTCTCAAAGCAGGCGAGTGAAAGGAGGAGCATCGATCGGCTCCCTGTGGTGGTTTCCGCCTTCAGTCTCCCGCCTTTACGGTAAGTAATGAAGTAACACCTTAAACAGGACCAAGTACGCGTGGGGGTGTTTGTGTGTCTGGTTTGCTTTGTACCGCAGAGTTGCTGCTAGCACTGCTGCTAACTGGCTAGTACTGCTACTAGCATTCCTGCTAACTAGCTAGTACTGCTGCTGCTAACTAGCTACCACTGCTGCTAACTAGCTAGCGCTACTGCTAGCTAGTACCCCTGCTAACTAGCTAGCACTGCTAACTAGCTAGCTAACACTGCCGCTAGCGGCTGGAGGCCTCTTGTCTCGCTGTGGCCTCCGGAAGTTTGACTTAAATACGAGTCACTTGTTTACGTCATTAATTTTGACTTTGCAATAAAATCATTACAGTTTTACATTTACAGTTAAAATGGTTTTGCAAAATGGTGTCAGGAGATTTTTAGATTAGTTTAACAATGGGATGTTTTTAATAATTTTCCACCAATATTTTATCAGAAAAAAGTATATCATCCTCTTTTTTTCTTCCTAAATGTTTCCTTTAAGTTATACAGGGAATTTTTTTTTCTTTTTCCTATGAGGCTCCGTAAATTTAACATAAAAATAGAAATAAAAATATTTTTTGTAAATAACAAATTTCCATTTGTAGATTTTGCAATATGACTCTAAGCTTGTTGGTGAACTGAATAAAAAAATGGCTCTTTATATTAGAAAGCTTTTTGCCCCCTGGCCTAGTCAAAGTCCTGTTCGCCTGGTGAGTGAATGCCTCTGACCTCTGACCCTCCAAACTTCAGTCTGGAGGACCAAACCGAACCAAAGTTCGGTTTGGTCCTCCAGAGAGCGCTCCAAAAGCAGCATGTGGACTACAGCGCAGGGCATTCTGGGTAACCAGAGCTAACATGCTAGCCTAGCGCTAGCAGCAGAAATGGCTCCCGGTCTTCAGCCAAAGACTAAAGAGAAATCACTAAACTCTGACGCCTCCATCTTGTTTCATCTGGTGAAGCAGGAAGTTGCTCTCAGTGTCTCCAGAGGTTTTAGTCGTTTCCTGCAGTGGTTGTTGGTGCAGCGCCCCACAGGCCAGGAGGGGAACAGGCTGGTTTGACTCAGCAGATGGTGGTGGAGCAGATGTTCTGGTTCCAGTGGAACCGGGTCTGCTGAAAAGCAGAGTGTGATGATGAACCGTTTCCCCCGTCTTGATTCAGGAGGTCAAACTTGGCGGTCTGTGGGTGATGAGGAGGATGAGTTCTTCATCCTCCTCATCAGGCTGAGATGTCTTTGAGTAGCAGATTTTAGGTGACAGACTGAACTGATGACTCTCTGTGTGAATCTGCTGTCAGGTGATTCATCAGGAGCTCTGCAGCAGGCGCAGCTCCAGATGAGGTCAGGATCTGCTGCAGGGTTCCAGCCGTCCTCCATGTTCAGCAGCAGCTGACGCGGAGCAGCTGGAGGCCGGCGCGGCTGGCCAACGTGAGGACGGCTGCTGTGAGTCAGCGCCGCAGTCATGACGTCGGGGGAGGCGGCGGCGCGGCGGGGCTGCATGTGGTCAGTGTGTCACTGCTGGTTAGATAATGATGACGAGGAGGCAGAAATCTGAGGCTTCAGAGAAAAAAACTTTGACTTTTTATACTTTTTAACAAGAAGCAAAGCAGCTGGGATTCTTCCTCCTCTTGGTTTTTCACAATATTTGTGAAAAAAAGTTAAAAGTGGAGAACAATTCATGCGAAGTTCACCTGAAGAGAAAAACTCAGATTTATGTTATGAATATTTGCTTCTCTTACAGACAGGCGTTGACTCATCAGACCTGAGTCAAAGTTAGCGCTTCGTTAGCGGTTCAGCTGAACAGACTGGAGCTGGACATGTTCCTATAGCAACCGGTGACCCCTGAACCCGCGCGGTTCCTCTGTGGATCAGCTGATGATCCCGGTGAGCTGGGAGCCCGAGGGCGTCTGCTGGAGTGACTTCCAGGATGTTGCAGAGTGGGCGTTCAGGTGTCAGCCTGCAGACTCAGATTCTGCAGCAATATTCTGGCTTAATGCTCTTATTTCCTGGAGTTTGGCTCAAAACTTGTCAACATCCACTGCAGTTATTTTCTATTTGTTGGTAATTGTGCTGTGTTAGCGTCAGCAGCAGCAGTTAGTCGTTTTTCCATCAATGTTTTTATGTGTATTTTGAAGTTTTGTTTTAGAAACAGTTGATGGAAACAGCAACATTTAACATAAAAAGTTTCTACGCTGGCCTGCGATGGTTTTTAGTTTTTCTGAAACAGTTGAAGCCGAGTCGGAAACATATGATTGGTTTCTTACTCAGCCAGTGGTGAGTCTGTGCCTTACCAGGGGAACGGTTCCTATTGTTTTGAGATGTGTTCATGATGATAACTGTTACTGTGGAGCATCAACATCTGACTGAATTAGCCTGTTGATTTGCTCCAAACCATAGATGGAAACTCACTTTTTCTTTGCGTGACGCTTGGATGGAAACATGGAGTTTGTTCCTGGATCGGTTGTTTCTTCAGTACCAAACATCTTTAAGCACAAGGTAAAACCAACCAGGCTCAGCAAATAAGAGAGAATGAATCCTGAATATAATGAAAGGAGCAAAACTGATAAATCGAGTCTTATGCTGATAATCAACCAGGACAGAAAGTCTTTCCATGTTGCTGAAGATCTCAGCTCAAACTGGAGACTCGTTTTCAGCCTGGAGCCACAGGAAGTAGAAGAAGTTGTAATTTTGAGGTTCTCAGATGTTGGAGATGAAAAGGTCTGTGAGACGTTGAGGTTGAATTGCATTAAAACACTAATGTCATAAAATGAAAGGTTTGGGTTATCTGATGATTTCTGCTCTGCTTTCCTTGATGCCGGCATGTTGCATGCTGCAGCGCAGCGGCCATCTTGATTGTTGTGCCCTTTAATCTGCAGCGTCAGCAGTAAACATGCATCATGGCTGACGGGGCTTAAAATGGCCAGTGGAGCTGCGTTTGTGGAGACTGACTTGCAAAAGCTGATCTGACAAACTGTGAGTGAAACAAGGTGACATCGGCCTGATTTACACAGCTTGTCATGTCCAATCCGGCTCAGACGCTCGGCGTGTTTCTGAAGGACTCGGACGCTCTGCTCTCTTTGGCTTTCAGTTTGATTTATCTCTCTGTTTTGTTCCCAGCTGGTTATTAACCTTCTGCTCGCTCTGTGTTTCTGTTTGGGTTGAAATCTGTTTTCATTTGATGAACTCCTGTGTGTTTTAGAAAACTTACACAGTCAAACTAACGGTAATAATTTGGGTTATTTAGCGTCATATAAAAAGTAGGATTTCAGACACGTTGTTGATTCATCTGCAAACGTCACAGTTTCAAACTTTATACTGAGCAGCTAAAGATTTAGTTTAGAAACTACTTATCTACTCTCAATATTTAGTGATCAAATATTGATCACTAATATTTACTCCAAAGTAAATATGTAGCTCTCAGCTAGGTGAATATTTAGTTAGCTCAGAACTAAATATTTAGTTTGAAGCTAAATATTTAGCTGCAATTTAAATATCTAGCTTCAAACTAAGTATTTAGTTTGCTGACTAATAATTCAGCAAACTAAATACCAACAAATAGTTTTAGTTGGTTAAAGTTATTGCTGATCATTTTTGACTTAAAAGGATGAAAAGTTTTAGTTTCCTTTTTGTAGCCGGTTCTTTATTTTCTGTGATATTTAGTTGGAAATTCTCAGTTTTACAGTTTTTATTGGCTACTTTAGTTCAGCCGACATTTTAACTGGCTGAAGCTCAAAGCTGAGGCTCTTCCTGGATTAATGACGATAAACTGAGGCAACAAAGCAGCGAGGAGGAAGAAGAGGAGGAGGAAGATGAAGAGGAGGAGGAAGAAGAGGAGGAAGAAGAGGAGGAGGAGAAAAATGAAGAGGAGGAGGAGAAGGAGGAAAAGGAAGAAGAGGAGGAGGAAGAGGAAAAGGAGGAAGAGGAGGAGGAAGCCTTCACTGATCCAGAATCAGCTGATGATCATTCGCTGCGACTCGTCCAGCTGGAGCTTCATGTTTCACACGACTTGTAAAACCAGATGCTGATCATGAACATAATCCATCCATCATCCATCCATCATCCATCCATCCATCCATCATCCATCCATCATCCATCCATCCATCATCCATCCATCCATCCATCCATCCATCATCCATCATCCATCCATCATCCATCCATCCATCATCCATCCATCCATCCATCATCCATCCATCCATCCATCCATCATCCATCCATCCATCCATCATCCATCCATCATCCATCCATCCATCATCCATCCATCCATCATCCATCATCCATCCATCCATCCATCCATCATCCATCCATCCATCCATCATCCATCCATCCATCATTCATCCATCCATCATCCATCCATCCATCATCCATCATCCATCCATCCATCCATCCATCATCCATCCATCCATCCATCATCCATCCATCCATCATTCATCCATCCATCATCCATCCATCCATCCATCCATCCATCATTCATTCATCCATTCATCCATCCATCATCCATCCATCATCCATTCATCCATCCATCCATCATTCATCCATCATCCATCCATCCATCATTCATCCATCCATCAACCATCCATCCATCCATCATTCATACATCCATCCATCATTCATCCATCCATCCATCATCCATCCATCCATCCATCATCCATCCATCCATCATTCATCCATCCATCCATCATCCATCCATCACTCATCCATCCATCATCCATCCATCATTCATCCATCCATCATTCATCCATCCATCCATCCATCATCCATCCATCATCCATCCATCATCCATCCATCATCCATCCATCCATCCATCCATCCATCAATCCATTCCTCCCTCTCATGATGCTTTTTATCCAGCTTTTACATGAAATGCTTTGTGATTTTAATGTTAGTAAATATGTAGAAAATTGTAGAGGAAAGAAATTGTTTTAATGAGAGAAAAGTTTTGATAGTTTTATTTTTTCAAAATAGATTAAAGTCAAAGTTCTGCTTCTACTCTGGTTAAAACATGAATAATTTCCTTGTTTGTCAAACTGACACTAAAGCTTAACTTCCTGAGATGCTGTCATTATTTCTTGGTGATATTGTGACGTGATTCGTAAAAACAAAATATGTCTCTGCTTCAGACACGATGACGATGGTGATTGTGATGAAGAGGAGAGTGAAGTCCTGTGATGGACCGGATCTGGTGACCTGGACTCAGTGACCTCTGGATGCAGAGCGTTTGCTTCCTGAGGCAGCTTCTGGATTTATGAGACGCAGGTATGAGTCCCGACACGGATCCTGTTTGACTCCCATCGCTCCAGCAGATGCCGAGCCTAGGAAACGCAGCAGGAGCGACGGGATTCACTCCGGCTGATTGCTGCTGCAGTTCTGGGAGGATTCAAACTGTTGGAGCAAAAATCAAACTAAATCTCATCAAACCGTCATGATGCTGTCGTTACTCTGATGCTTATTAACTCGGATAATTAGTCCCATGAAACAGATACTTCTTCTCCCTTTACTCTGGCTCAGAAACGTGAGACGGCTTCCTCTGCAGACTTTGACTAGACCACAATCCTTCTCTATATTTATTTTTAAATACAGTAAGGCGTCTTCATGTCTGTGGTATCTCTAATACATATTTAAACCTGTGTTGTTGTGATTAGCGGTTCTAAACGGGTTTCGTTCCTCTGACAAGGCGCCCAGCAGGGGTGTGAATACTTTACTGAGCGGCAGGTAAAGAGGACAGGAACATGAGGGACCATAGTGGTTCCGATTAATCCGGGTCCGACCTGAAACCGCTCTCAGCTGAAACTATGGATACTCTTAATGCAGTCTCAATGAAGCACCAAATGCATGTGGATCATTAAACGAATCAGTGAGCAGGAAGTAACTTTGGAGCGAACGCATCGTTTCTGAGGTTTGTTGTTTACTGACTGGATCAGCGCGGGTCTGAAGCAGGCGGAACGGAGCGCAGTGGCCGCGTTCCCGCTCCGCATCATGAATGACAAAAAGATCCAGATTCATCCAGAAACACAAAGGAGTCCAGAAAATGGCTGGAGGCTGAGCTGAGGAGGAAGCAGGTTTCCGTCTGTCCTCTCAGAGCAGATCAGCCCGTTTGGGTTTAGTGATTCTGAAGGTTTCAGTCGGAGAGCAGCCGTCCAGCTGACCCGTCTTCCTCCTCCTCCTCCTCGCTCCGTGCAGACGAGCCTTTATCCTCGGTGTGCAGGAATGAGCGGCTGTTACCATGGCGACGTGGGCTGAGGCGGACCTCGTTGCGTTGGTAACGACGCGAGGCGCGCTGTTTGGGATGCGTTGATGCTTCCAGGCGGTCGGGAACGCCGGCGTGGGAATGACATGAGGAAAGTTTGAGCCTCAGTTTCCTGTTGTCTGGCTGAAGTTGGACCTGTGGAGCAGCGGGAAGCCGGGACTCGAGCAGGTAATCCAGAAACCCGTCAGGAGGTTTGATCCGGAAAATCTATCGGTAATGAAAATGTTGAATTGATCTCTGGGACGAGTTTCCAAACACTAGACAGGTCTGTTGATGAGCATCTGCAGGGAATGAAGGATGTTTCTGTCCTGATGGTCGGGTCGACCCGGTTCTACTGGAACCAGAACATCTGGAACAGAACCTCCAGCTGCTGTGGTTCTGAGTCCAACCAGCCTGTTCCCCTCCTGGCCTGTGGGGGCGCTGCACCAACAACCACTGAAGGAAACGACACTAAAACCTCTGAACACACTGAGAGCAACTTCCTGTTTCACCAGATGAAACAAGATGGAGGCATCAGAGTTTAGTGATTTCTCTTTAGTCTTTGGCTGAAGACCAGGAGCCATTTCTGCTGCTAACGGTAAGCTAACATGTTAGCTTTGTTGGATTTACCCAGAATGCCCTGCGCTGTAGTCCACTTCCTGCTTTGGAGCGCTCTCTGGTCCGCTTGGCATTCACATTCAAACTGAACCAGAGTTCACTTCAACCGAATCCAAGCTGAGGTTTGAATCTTGAGGATTTTCTGACCTGCGACTTTCAGAGCTCACAGAACTTCAGAGTTCCTGCAGAGATGTTTCAGAGTTGGAGACGTCTTTAGTTAACCTGAGGCAAACTGAGGAGGAGGAATCAGAGGCTGCAGTGATGAAGACGTGTTCAGGCTGCGGCTTCATCATGAAACTGTCCCTGCCGCTCCGTGATGAGCTGCGATCCGTCTCTTCTCTGCGGCTCGTTGTTTGTTCGGCGTCCTGCTGCATCTCAGCATCTCATCCTCAAACATAATTAAATCCTAATACGTTCAGTCTGAGTGGAGCTGCATGCTGGAAACAAAGAGACGCTGTGCAGAAAGAAAATAGGAAGAAGCATCCAGAAAGCTGAACGTGTGAAGCTTCAGTCAGACTCTGCTGAGCTGAGATGATTTATTGATAACTGCAGCAGCACAGAGAGAACATCTCTGGAGCCGCTCCGCCTCTGCATGCAGGAATCTGAAATCAACACTTTTACATTTCAGGATTTGTGTTTGGCAGACAATTTCTCTTGTTATTGACAACTTAAATTATCTCTTTAACTTATGTCTATGCAAACAAGTAATTTCAGAGAACTTTATTGACAATTGGTAATTTATATTTTTCACCTATTGTCAACTGCTATCTTCTGATTTCATCTTTAATTGAGAATCCAAACTAACATTATTCCTGAAATCTGTAAACATCAGCAGATTTAAACTACAGAGGGATATCCAAACCCCCGGTACTTTCCAAACGTTTTGAAGTGCCATTTGGTTCTAAACGGAGTGAACCGGTCTTGATGTGCGATCTGGGCTCATCGCCGCTGCTGTTCGCTCTTTAAGGCTTCGGCCGTCACTTCCTGCCAGACAGCCTGAGAATCTGGGTTTGAGTGGTTCTGCTGTCAGGAGGTCCAGGAATCGTTTTTCAGTCCCAGATCTGAACGTCTGCTGATGACACTTTCATTTATGCTGCTTTTATTGGCTGAGCTACCAGTTTCTCACCTGATTTGTTTCCTCCTTGGTCCGGACTCCTGAATCCACTCCACTGAATCTTGGACCGGACCAAACAACCGGACCCAGATCCACTTTCTGATCTGACCAGCTCGGGTTTGGTTCTGGTGTGAAAACAGACCGGCTTCGATCCGAGCCAACTACAGGAAGTAGTCCTCATGGCAACCCAGAGCCTGCAGCGACACCAGCAGGAACTGGTCGGACTGAAACGGTTCCTGATCCGTTTTAGCGGTGCTGTTAGCATGTTAGCATCTCGTCTCATTGAAAAGTTTTTCCTCTGGTTTCTCTGTGACGATTTTATGTTTTATTGTCAGGAATGAATCTGAAAGGTCTTCATCTGCCAGGCGCTTCCTTCCGTTTCTTTTGGTTTTACTGACATTAAATTTTGTTGTGTAATAAAAAATAAAACATTTTGATTCTAAAATTGTTTAACTAAGGAGAATTTTCAAATAAGACTTAATCCTATTCTTATTCTTTGACGTTTTTAGTATTAAGTGAATTTTATGGTTTTGTTTTATTGATACATTTTCAGTGACAACGCTGGGCCTCAGGTCTGCTTTAGAAAACGGACGTGACTTTAAAATAAAATACTGGATAATAACGGGCTGTCTGTTGCTGTGTGGTTGTGTGGACCGGGCCGGCGGTTCGGCGCCTCGTTGGGCTCCAGATGAAAGCCTCGGCCTTTCAGCACCAGAACACGACTGGCTTCCTAAAATAGCAGCACAATGAAGCTTCTTTCAGAGAGACGGCGGCGTAATGAGCAGCTGAACTCTGCCCGGGCGAAACTCCAAGCAGAAGAGACGGCTGAATGCTCCTCTGGGATTATTTACACCTTCATCAGCTCAGCTCCTGTAAAACCCAATCAGAGGGTGAAATAACAGATCCTGGTGGACAAACAGCAAACCAATGGGGAATATCACAACAGAAATCCTCTTTATTGTCCCTCAGTGGGACATCAACGCATGAAGATAAAGACAAACAAAAGTCTCCACTGGACCCCGTTGGTCCCAGGCTGAAGTCCTGAGTCCAGTCTGTCCAGTTGGAGGTTTTGACTGGGCTGTTTCCTCGATGAACAGCTGCTGACTCAAAACACTTTGGAGAAAATCAGTTTGGAAACTTTAGAGCTGCCAGTTCCAGATATTCTCAGGATTTTTTCTTTTCTCCTGGAGATTCTATCATCCAGAAGTCACTCTGTGGTAGATGCTCAGTGTTTATCCAACACCAGCTGTGAGTCAGATAATGGGAACAAACAGAAGCAGCTGCTGAGGGAAAGAAACAGCAGGTAAAAATGACCAGTGGTGTTATTTATTAGTAGTATCCACCCAAAAGTTGAGTTTGTTATTATTCATATTGTTTGATGTTTCCAGCATGTCCTTGCACTTGCCCTGTCCTCCCAGCAGGGGGCGTTGTATTGGATACGTCAGGCTTAATAAAGTGTCTCACGCCCCAGTGGAAACGGGACATGAGCTATTTATGATTGCAAATCGTGTTGCAGCCGTGAAACTGCAAAGGTTTTATGTTCCGGCGTGTTGAGGGGAGCGTTTCCACAAGCCCCGCCCACCTAGCGAGAGTGGGCGGGGCTAAATCCAGCACGGCGGCGGCATGGCGGCGGCATGGCGGCGGCCACACGAAGCGAACTGGACTGGACCAAACCGATCCACTGACCAGTACCGTTCAGTGGAGACGAGGTCACAGGGCATCTCCAGCTCTACAGTTCTTCAGCAGGACTGGCTGAGACTCGTCTCAAACTCTTTTTGGGTTCATTTTGTGGCTTTTTTTGTTTTGTTTTTTTGTCCAGAACCAGAAGAAAGTTTTCCACCTGATGTTTGGACTGGATCAGATTTGGTTTGAAACAGTCCTGACTGTAACGAATTGGCCTGCGATTTGCTTCGGTCATCTCATTCATGTAATAACCCTTGTAGCAAATATCTTCAGACATAAATTTGACCAGTTTTTCTCCTGGTTCTTTTCACTGAAGATCATTTCCTGTCTTCAGACTCGTCTGATGTGGATTTGCTGCTTTTCTCTGGTGATGCTGAGCTCCAAACAAAAACGTTTGGACTTTCTGGACCTCCGTTCGGAGCCCTCTTCGGGGCGGGGCTTCCTCAGCAGAGGATTCAAGTGATCTAATCTTGTATGACATGTCGGTTTCCTCTCTGGCTCCTCTGGACGTTTTTATCCTCATCAACACCAATAAAGACAAACTGGGGCATCTGGACGGTTATTATTGCTGACGGCTCAGCTGCTCATCTCAGAAGAAAGGAAATCCAACATCCC